GCTTTATGGAGGCATAGTGCAGGTCAGCTTTATAGGGGGGATAGTGCAGGTCAGCTTTATGTGGGGATAGTGCAGGTCAGCTTTATGGGGGGGATAGTGCAGGTCAGCTTTCCAGCATTTTTTTTTGGTCATGCTGTATCAGTGTCTTGCTCAAACTTGAACATTACAAAGGGATTGATTACAGATAAAGAAAATCTTTCTTTGTAATGGCAGGTACGTTTGAAATGACTTAAAGACAGAGCACTGCAGGATTTTGTTGATCCAGAATGTCGGTGCTGGCTTTTAAAAACTATGCCTTTGTTGAATTCCCAAATTGTTGTAATACTGTTCTTTTTTCCACACCAATTCTCCCCAGTCAAGGAGTGGTCAACCACCAGCCCGGTATCCCTGGCCCAGAACCTGCGCGACATGTCCTCCAGGCTCCTGGCCCCCAGCCCCACGGGCTTCCTCAAGCGCACCATCCGCCTGGCCCCGAGCTTCGACGCCTACATCAAGGAGAGGGCAGAGACAGTGAAAGACGGGGGGTCGGATGAAGGGACAGGGGAGGCTTCCAAGACGGAGGAGAAGACAGGTGATGATCGAGATCAGGGAGAATAGCATAGAAGACATCCTTCTTTCCTTTCTCCAGAGTAACAGTGAGATCTCTTAAGATCAGTTTGTATTTAGCACAAAAGGGAAGGACTCACCAGTTGGCAACAGATCAAGACATGTCTGCGAATTCCACTCCACAAGTGTTTTTCAACTTGGCATTATTATTATTATAATTTAATACGCTATTCATAGTACACTATATCAAAGCGCTTATAATAATTTAATAGAAAAAGGAAAGAGGATACAAGTATGAAAGACTATTAACAAATCAAAATAAATAAGTTCTGGCCAACTTTTTAAATTGCATTGCATTGACTTGTGACTTGACCAAACGACTTGTGACTTGACCTATGACTGGACCAAATGAATTGTAACCTGACTTGGACTTGCCAAAAATGACTTGCGACTTGGCCTGGATGTGCAAAAATTACTTGCTACCAATTCCGCGAGTGCATGTGCAACTTTTAAAATTGCGTTGCATTGGCATTTACCTTCAGTGGCCACCCTCTCCCACCTTAACCTTTAGCTGCGTTCACTGCCCATTCTGTGCTTTGAAAATGTGCAGTACAGTCAAGAGGTCCATTTGTCTTGCACTATACCAGTGCACACATTAATTATTTTATTGTCTATTTGCATGACCACCTTTCCACGATTTGCATTTGACGGTATGACAGTAGGCATCTTTGGGAAATTTTTGATAGACTGGGACATTCCATGCAGTAGAAAGAAGGAAGGATTAATCTGACACACTAAGGAATCTTCCTCCCTGACAGACATCAGGAATAATTCAAGATCCCTTGGTGCAGTTGGCAAATAAAATTTGTCAACCATTTCCCACAATGTAATGCGAAAATTGGCCTTGCTGTGGCAGCCTCTTTGTGGTGCATTGTACTGTGTGTCATATTCCTGCATATCTACACTATCTCCATTACAGCCACATGTTGATTTATTCTGTGAAATCTAGGATATAACATGGATGCGAACTAGGTGACTCCACAGTAAGAGTGTACCGTGTTAAATTCCGGTTGCTGGATAAGTCTCTCAGGATGTCTGAACTGACTACTTGGAATTCACTGGGTGTTTTGTTGCTGTCAGGTGACGAAGCGGCCAGCGAGGCAGATACATCGAGAGAAGATGCAGAAAGCAAGCCCTGCCCGTTAGACCTCCACATCAAGGTCCTGAATGAGGAACGGCTCCTGTGCACGGTCAAGCTCATCACTGATTGGCTGAGGGGCAACAGCGATGTCATTACGACGACTGCAGAGGTGAATCAAGGAGAGCCCAGTTTGGTCACAGTTTGTCTTTTGGTGTGGGGGTATCTTACCGGACCTTGTGATCTTAAGGAGGGAAGAATTTATTCAGATAGAGATATAGATATTCTTTCACAAAGGACAGACACAAACATGGGCCAAATTCCTTGAATGGTGTCAGGCGTCACAATATATTGTGGGTTTTTCTTGACCTTGACTTCATTTCGGGTTGAGCTCAAGGTTTTAGTGTCATTAACTCAGTCCCTTGATTTGAGACCCTCAAGCACAGTGCAGTTGCGGCTAATGTTAGGGCAAACTTGTGGAGTGTTTCACATGTTTCCATATGTGTGTTTACAGAGATTCTAGATCCCAAGAGGAATGCCAAAGCTGAAAAGACAGCTGAGATTTAGAAAAATGGTCCTTAATTCCAAAACATAAGATGTATTATTGACACAAAGAGGGTCAGATATGCCTGGGGGATGTAGAAATGCTCTTTAATGTTAACTCTAGAATTCCCCAAATCAGCAAGTCTTGACGAGACTTTCTCTTGAGGACTAAAGCTTAGTTGAATGCCAGGCTTGCCATGGCACACTGAAGTTCTCTTGTAATATAAGTCGTCATGCCAGTGGTCACTTTGCAAGGGCTGTGGCTGTTCAGCTCTGTAAGGTCATGTCTCTTTCCCGGCAGATCAGAGCATCCACACATGAATTCTGCTCCACTGGTAGTCTGTCAGTCCCAATTATCAGCGTGTATGTGTTGTGGGGTGCCCAGCCTAGTACTTTAAGGGCTTGTAGCCCCTGATCACAAGGTCAGGTGTACAGATCCAGCAGCTGGGTACACAGAGTTGTTGACTTGAGTCATGCCACTCGGATTTGAGTCACTTTCTTTGTGACTTGTGACTCAACTTGTAACTGCCAGCTTTGACTCTTGAGTTGACTTTAACTCGCATGTAGTGACTTTATGTGTGCCTGAAGTAGTGCTGTAGTACATGTGGAAATTGAACAATTAAGTGTAAGGATACTGATCAAGCAAGTGAAGTTTAACTGTCCAAAACTTGTGACTCGTAACTCGTAAGTTAATGCCATGCCCTGTTTGCTTGTTACAGTTGGACCAAATAATATGCGACTTGACTTGCACTTGAATGAAGAGACTTGTAACTTACTTGTGTTGGACCAAATGACTTGGCTTCAGTTGACCATGTGACCAAATGACTTGTGACTTGACCAAACAACTTGTGACTTGACCTGTGACTGGACGAAATGAATTGTAACCTGACTTGGACTTGCCAAAAATGACTTGCGACTTGGCCTGGACGTGCAAAAAATTACTTGCTACCAATTCCACAAATTCATGTTGTGGCCTTGGGAAAGTTTACCCTTTGCTGGCCTTTCTCCGGCCAGGGGTATAAATGGACAGCTGTTGGGACAGAGGGAGTAATTATGGTAGATTACCGACGTCATGCTTGAAATGGCTACACCAAGCCATATAACTCCACACACAGCCAAGACTTCAGGAATGATGACAGATCCAACTGGCAGGGATCACGCCCTTGAGACTTTGTTTGAAATGTAGCATCCTTTTTTGTCTTTTCAGAACACTCAGATGCTGTGGTCCAAGCTGGCCCTGCTGCTGAATCAGCTTCCCCAGGTTGAAGACTTCTGCTCAGAGGGTAGGGCATACGAGACTTGAGTTCAGCTCCTTTTCCTTCACCTTTGACTTTTGCCAAAGATACACTTGTGCACGCTGGGAGAATCATATGTGACCCAACTTTACAAAATGAGTCACAAGTCGCCAAAGCCCCTTTTTGAGTTAAATCCCTTTGAAAAGAATCTTGCACAATTTATTTCAGTAGGAACCCTCCGAATTTCACTCCTCGGGGTCCATTTGGATCAGAATTCCAAGTGTTTGATACATCAAAACAGTATTACTGAAAGGAAATAGTCTTTACATTCAGTTTCTGAGATCCGGCAACTCATCAGATGTGTCTGACTAGGCCACTCTAAAGGGGAAATGTAGAATTTTCCATTAAATCATCAGCTTAGAATCCTAGTGAATAGATTGACAGCAAGTGTCTTACAGCATTGGTTGTGTAGGTATTAACCCACTGTAAGTGAACTAAATGATTGTTTGTGTGCCAAGCCCTCTATTGAATCAGTGTTAAGCTCACTCATTAATAGTGAAGCGGTTCGTATGGATTGTTGTCATCACGGTTTGCCAACCTTGCTTTCCAGATAATAGGCTTAGTAGTAAACTTTAATCAGCTGTGTTCAGGCAAATTATATTTGAATCAGGCAGCTTGCCTGGCCGATGGTGCACAGTGACTGAATCATCGACACAATCATGGCAAGACGTGACCGATGAAACCTTCTGCTGTCAAACTATCCACAAAATCTTTGTCAAACTTTTCACAATGTCACTGCCCTTGATCCATCCCACTATGCTGGATTTGCCCACCCAGTCCTTAAAGACAAGTCAACAAGTCAGGCAATATCCCCAAGAGAAAGAGGATTATAAGTTTATCAGGCATGGCAGTCTATAAAGGGAGGGAGCTGTTATTAACTTTGTCAAATGCAATTTAGAGTATGCATATCAAAGCCAGTGTGATTTCATTTGGCAAGCATCTAGTCACTTTTTCCATTTGCTAACCAGAAGAATTTTGTCCTCTTATACAGTGAACTTTGTGTCTTTTCATGTATGGAATTGAGAAAAGAACTTCCTGCTGCGTCAGTCCTAAATTTCAGATGTTACTGCAGCTACCTAATTTGTTTCTTCCTTATTTTAAAATATACTCCCACCATGTCACTGGTACCCAACAGAATGGTGCAAGTCTTCTGAGGCTCTTGAGGCAATCACTGGTAGCCTGCAGGAGGCCCCTGGTGTCTGGAAACAAATCCTCCCACTCACCGAAGACATCGCAGTGATGAAACTGCCCCCGCTCACTGACTCCCAGAAGGCCATGGCCTTTGACCTCCATATGACCCACGACCTTACAGAGCAAGATGAGGTGGGTACCAAATGGTGCATTTTGGTGTGAGCCTGAAAGGTAACAAACTGAGTTGTTTGTATTACTCAATGACTCAGTCTGGTATTTAAAAAGGGAAAGTTCATTTGAGAATAAAGCATCTAACGTCATGCCAACTTGAACATGTTCAGTGTAAGTGGGTCAGCTTACAGCCTGGCTGATAGGGCCAAACTCGTGCATACCTGTATTCTTGAATGACATACGACATGCTACATTTCAGAACACAAAACAAGCTTACATATTGACATTGACAATCTCAGATAATGACCTCACCATTGTCTTGTCACGCAAACCAGTGGCAGGCCAAATGACTTTGGAGGGGGCACCTCTGCAGTGTGACATTGCAAGCCTGTGTGCCTGACTTGCTAACAAACAAAACAATGTAGTGTTGCACAGAAATCTTGCGTACAGAGCTACATGTACATGTAGGTCTCCACTGGCTTCAGATACATGGGCACATGCCAACAGTAGACATGGCCGTAATTGCAGAAGCTCGTTTGAGACACAGCCCAAGATGCACATGCTTGCATTAGCGTCTCACTTTCATTGAAAGTCCTCATAATTTCTGTGGGGAATCAAAGCCCAAGTAACTGTTGGACTGTGATATGGCCTGTTGGCACATGAGATATATACCGTCCCTGGCAGGTACTTGAGTCTCCCCTGATTGTTGATGGCATGTGAACATTCCTGTGGTTCTGAGGGGAATAAGGTCCTCAACCTTTGGATGAACTTGGACCTGGCGTTGGCAAGAATTTACCCGCCATTTCCTGTCCGACACTTTCCCTATCCTGGATAACTGATCCGATCACTGACACTGCCGATGAAGACCAAAACTAAGTGTCAAATATGGTTGAAGTCAGCGTGCCACCTGCGGTGGACCTTCTATGCCCCCTCCCCCAATTTTTACTCCCATCTATCCCCCCCCCTCCCCATCCAAAGTTTAAAAATAAGTTGCCAGCCATTTCGTGAACCCCTGCGAAAAAGCCCCCTGCAGGATTTGGTGTCAATTAGATTAGCACTCAGCAATGTGTTTCCCAAATCCCCGACTTCCCCCTCTGCAAATTGATCCGGAACATAATAGTCGACACCTAGGGAGCCGCTGGTACCCCACAAAAGAGAGAAAAAAAGTGAAAGGGTGTCTGAGATTCTGCACCCTGGGGCGGGCGAAGTAGGTCATTTGGGCCGGGCACTAATGAGGGAAGGCCTGGCTTGGGTGCGAGGTGAGTGAACTCAGTTGGTTATGATTAACAGGAATTATAATTTGTCGCCTCGCAGCCCGGAGGCGGGCTTCCGTTACTCTGACAGATGAGCTCAGTCTCGTGTGAAGTTTTATTCAACGATTTAATCCACTGGTGGAGTGAGAGATCACATTGCAGCTGAGTTGGCAAAAAGTCTTCTTTTAAATTTTTTTTATTTTTGCATCATTTTTAAAAATAATCCTTCAGAGGTGTTAATGTGGGATGAAATGTGGGATTACCCGATTAAAATATCTTTGCGTAGAATTTATGAAGGGGAAATCCGTACTAATTAGATCAGGGTAGCAGTAGCAGGTGTTAATCCGAAGGGTGATGTTTGTGAGGTTTTTCTGTTATCGAGACCACATGTTGTAAGAAGCTGGACTGAGACATCAACCGTGGTATTTAAAGATGAGCCCCAGGTGATTTAAGCTTCCAGAAAGGCCAAAGAGTCATCAACTTTTTTTTTTGGTTACCCAGAAGGTGTACATGGACATGTATGTTCTTTCCAGTATTTATATCCACTTACCCAGCGATCTGTGGTATAAAATGCTGAAGGTTTGTTGTTGCATTGGATTTCACCTACAACCCTCTAAAGTGCACTTTTCGATACTCATAACTCCAAAAGTATGCCAAATAGATTTATATATTGAAGGAAAGTACATACTGGTCGTTTCACACAAATCTGCTTCTAAGAATAAAATCTTCCTCTGAACCCAGTGAAAATAACGATCATTATCATGGAGATGGAGGAAATTCGATCATTTCAACCTGAAATTGTCCAATCCAGAAGTGTGTGACCTGTTTAATCATTCACATGTACGTAAAACTGAAGTTTTGTGGTGGTTTTGTCCTGTTGTGGTTTGCATTCATATCGTTAGTTTTGGCAAGATTTCAACAGTAGTCCTGTACTCAGGAAGGATGTGGGTTTGGTTGGAGAGGTTCATGCATGAGCTTATAAGGCACTGATTGACATTTCAGTGGATGTAGTGCATTTCAAACTGCATGTTTAGATGTAATTGTGAAGGGTGATTGTCCACATGTAGTCTTCCATGGCAGAAGGCAACCAAAAAAAAAGACATAAAACCCCAGATCTCATGCTAGAGAGTACACTAGGCAAATTCAACTTGTACTTCAAAGATGGATTTGCACTGGGGAGATGTAAATTATTTGGGGGCAGGGCAAAATCAAAAATTAAATTCAACTTGTGTCCTTTTTACTGAAAAGTCGAGAGCTAAGCTGTAGTAAAGGTCACCCTACCTACTCCCAAGTTCCAAATTAACCCGTTTTTCTTGCTCCATGAACTACATGTAGGTTACACCTGTCTTCCTGGTGCTAAGAGCAGAGTGGCAAGTATCATGACTTGTTACTATTCACTCGGATGTCACCCAGATCCTAGAAATTCCTCGTCAAAATCTTGGAACCATCAGTCGAGTCCGCTTTTGGAAATGATTGAGTTCCTCACCAGTACCTGAAGTAATTTTCAGAAGCCTTCTAGTCTGCCATCAATTTTTGGCTTAACCCTGTTTACGCCAGTTAAGACTGACTCTTTCTTTTTCTAGACTGGACTAGGCCGTCTCTCTGCCAGTCAGTCTAATGTGTTTGTCTGCCGCTTCTCAAGTGTTAATTACGACGGACCCATTGGGAGCACCGCCATATCCTGTTGATGTTATGGTAGAGAACGGTCAGTGCAATCCGAGAGTGTCAACACTCACCACCTCAAAATAAGACAGTTCTTATCTAGTTGAAGACAAGGAAAGATCACATCCAGGGAGTCAGTCATACTTCCTAGAAATGTGTCTCTTTAAAAGTAGGAGGTTTTTCTGTTCATTACTTCTAATTTTTACTTATTTTTGGTTATCACGGTGTCTTCATATTTCAGTTGTTGTGCCTCAATTGTGTCAAATGTAAATTTTTTCACCATTGTTTAACTCGGCTTATGGAACAGGTGGATTTTGCCCTCCAGCTACTACTTGGAACACACCGAGGATTGTACCTGGTCACAAACCACCTGGATTTGGGATTTGGCTAGGGAGTTTCAGGTGTTATCTTGCAAGGTCACAGTTGTGTCCTTCTGACACTTTGCATAGGTGCTAATAGTGTCTTCCTCTGCTCCACACCCAGGTTGAAACCTACTTGTGTTGATAAGCAGTCTGCAAGGAGAAACATTTCACTGAATCACTTCCATGGTTGAGCACTGTGGACACGTTTGTACTCAAATGGGAGATCTTACCATGGGTGACATGTACAGCAGGCACCCATGTAAAGACTGTAATCACTGTATGCATAGATTTCTCCATTTACAAATGAAAATCTTTCATGTAAACTTGTAATTATTTATACCACAGTGTAATACGAGGGATAGAAATATGCACAGAAGGCCTGTTAGTCAGCCCAAGAGGCATTATTGCTACATGCATGTACAAAGGTGACAAGGTGCCCTCTCTGGTCCCCTTTCGGGACCTCAGCACACACGAACTGTTACCTTTGCTTCATGGGTCATGGGAGATAAACCAGGCATCGTGTTGTGTGAAGGAGGGGGGACACTCCCACAGTCGTTAAGTGTCATGAAATCTCCAGATGGGCACATTGGCCCAATGAACTAATAAGGGCAGGGTGTACCATTTGGTGTCAGCTTTGCCCAGGATTAACCACTTCGCGCCGGTGGCATTTATCAATGTTGATGATGCAGGGACGGGAGAATTATCTTTTTTTTCTATTTCCAAAATTCTTTAAAAATTCATATCTTTATTATACTGGACACTTACACCCACACGAAGGACTGTATGGTTTCAACTCTAATCTGACAGACAACATATATTGACGCTGGAGTATTCCAGCCAGGCCTGCTGCCTGGTAAAAAGAGCCCAGATTTTATGGTGTTACGGAATTTTCTTTATTCACGAAACTGGCACAGTGTGCTGCTGACCTCTTTTCAATAGGGGCCAGTTTAGCGTGCAGCGGTGCTGTGTGGCTCATCGCTGCGGTGATGGAGCACTTTTGTCCCCGGTGGTAATCCGCTTGCGCTGAATGCTCCAAACCGTGGTATACTGTTTCAAAACAAGGCTGGATTATCTCCACTGTTGAGAGTGAAAAAATGTTGGTAATTCTCAGCAGCCTGGTCTTTTCTTACAAGGCCCAGTTCCCTTTGTCCGAGTTCGGAGATCCCGGCGACTTGTATGAAGAATACGTGTCCGAAACCGGAATCCCCAGTGACAAGTGGTTAATGTGTAAAATAGTGCGAGACTTCAACCCAGTTCTGCTCTGTATCAGTTGTCCATTCAGCCCCCAGCTGCCAAATTGCTGAAGACATTAGTATGTTTGAAACTGTGATGCTGTTACCTTATCAGTACCAAGCAAGTCATGAGTCACATGTAGGCCAGTGTGCCCTCCTCCCCGTCTCCCACCCCCCCCCCAACCGGGCCCAATCTGAGTAGTAGTCTGCTAGATGTGTAACCAGCAGTCCCCCGGTGCCCACCCTGGTTGGTCCCCTAAGCAATGAAGATTTCCTTTGGATAACTTCTGTTCGCTGCCACTGCCCAGCAGAGTTGCTGTCACCTAAACTGGCAAGCGTGTAAACCACGAATGGTTACTATCGTTTCAGGTTTCAAACCCACTGTGCTTCGAAGTCTTACTTGTTTCCAACGTTGACTTTCTAGTTGGAGTCCAACCCTTTAACTAATTTGCTGAAAATATAATGTGAGTTGTGGCTGGTTAATGAGACAGTCTTTAGTGCAGCACTTGTGC